AACATTTTTACCATTTGCAATTGTTATTTAATATTATTGGTCAACCATACCTTTTCATGGTTTGTGGATATTTTACATCATTTATGTATAATTACAATCTTTTTCTTATCTCAGCTCTTCAAGAGCCCAGGATTAACAACCCTTAATCAGATTCCTGCTGACAAGAACTGATCTGTCTCAGACGTTGTCAGACTATTTTCTTGAATCTTGGCTAATTGTATTTAATGGCAATGATAATCAACAACTATCAAATTTTCTGGGTTTTTAATACCAAGTATAATTAAATCAAATGTAATAGTAATGTACAAAGCATTTTTATAAATATATCATCCTTTTGGAAAACTTTCATCCAGTAAATCAACTCTATGATACACGATGGGGACCTACAAAAAATATCTTTGCACAACTAACATAGAGCTTTATCTAAAGTGTCTTTTTACTGAAACACCTTTATACAATAGCACATGCACTTTCCTATTAAGAATCATGTGCTTTCACTCAAATTGCATTGCTTTTAATATGGGCCTATTTCTAGAAACTTTTTTTAAAAAATATTCTGAGATTATTAGAAAAAAGTAGAGAGAAGTTAAGAAATTTACTAAAGACAGGTACTATGCATTTAACTATATGTAAACTTTTTGAATAGACAGAACCAGGAAGAAAATGATAGAAACTAGTTATAAGATCTTAAAGCCTTCACAAGTCAACTCTCTGGACCTGTGCTGTCCGATAGAGTAGCCACAAGCATCATGTAGATACTTAAATTTAAATGTATTAAAATTGAATTTAGAATGTAGTTCTTTGTTTGACTAGTCACATTTCAAATGCTCAGTGGCCACATGTGGCTTGTGTCTAACATATTGGGCAGCACAGAGACAGACTATTTCTGCCACTGCAGAAAATTCTATTGGAAAATGTTTCTCTAGAGCTTTACTTCATTTGTACATAAGAGAATAATTGACATTCCAATAATGCTCCAGAGTTTCAGAAAGGATTTGATATATTCTGTGTTTCATATTATAAGTTAAGGAAACATACAACATGATTTAAAATATGTATCCCAATTATTTAAGTATTTAATTATTGAATGTTTAGGAATTGAAAATGGTTAGTTGGTCTTTATCTACCCAGATAATTTGTCCTGTAGATGCCAAAATATTAAGTAGTTTTTTTTACAAATTCTTAAAACACTTAACATTATTAAGTTTTATGATACAGTGGTTAGTGGAACATGAGAACATGAAGATTGTGTCACAACAAAGCTGATATATAAAGCAAAACCAGGCTACCCAATTTTAACTAATATATTACGAATAAATGAAGAATGTCTATATATACTAATGAGAAAGATGACAGTATAAACAAAATGTGTGTAGTGCTGGGTCTAGACTGTTTAATTTGACCTTCTTCTAGTCCCAAATATAGGTGACAGAATGGAAGAACCTCATGACATGCTTTCAATTAAAGGCCTTATGGTGAAGTTTTAGAACACAGTCTTCAGCAGGTTAGAAGTCTATTGTCAAAGAAAATGATTGTCTTTCTGTGATGAGAACACATTCCTACACGAGTGTCTCAGATTCCAAAAGCTCTATGCTATGGACTTAATATGAGCAGCAAAAGGGAAGATGAAATCATATAAACTAGATGAAATGGTGGCTGGATTTCACAAGTTTTATGTCATATATTTAAACATTACTGTTTAAACTATGTTAAATGAAAAAAATACAAGGCCATTCTGCAGTGACTGAGAGAAGCAGCCTTATTCAATATGTAAAATGTTTTAAATGTACCATAATGAGGTAGAGGTAGGCTTGCCAGACAAAATACTGCATGTCTACCTAGGTAAATTTGAATTTTAGATAACAACAAATACTTTTTTAGTATGTCTTGAATGTTGCCTGGGGCCTTAAACCAAGGAAAAAAACCTGTTGTTTAAAATTCAAATTTAACTTGAATCCCTTTTTTGAAAGATTGACTTAATGTGGCAACCTAAGAAGAGGGATTATGATTCGCCAATAACCCATCTTTCTCCTTTCAATAGTCCTGTGGGGGAAAGAGATAGTAGAGTGCTTATTGATTATGGATAACCAAGGAGCCATCGGGCTGGGATCATGAGAACATTGTAATCTTTCTTTTCAGAGGGTTTATATCTGAGCAAATAAATACATAGAAATGCTTGAAAATGGACTTAATAGTATATTTATAATTGCTGTGATCTGAATGTTAATGTCTCCCTCAAATTCATATTTTGGAACCTAACCCCTAAGATGATGGCAATAGGAAGTAGGGCCTTTAGGAGGTGATTAGGATATGAGAACTTTACCCTAAGTAATGAGAATAGTGTCCTTTAAAAAATTCCCCAGAGAAATCCCCCACTCCTTTTTCCATATGAAGTTAGAGTCATAAAACAGCTCTCTATGACAAATCACGTCCTCATTGGACACCACATTTGCTGGCACCTGGATCTTGTTCTTCCTGCCTCTTGAACTGTGAGGAATAAATTCTGTTGTTTATAAAATACCCAGCCTATGGTATTTTGTTATAACAGCCTAAAGAGACGAAGACAATAATCCAGACAGAATTTAAAGTTGGTATTATAAAGTGGCAATTTGACCAAGCATATATTGCAGGATTTTACCTAGGAATGTGGTCATTCCTTGGGTACATCTGGCACAACTGTGCCCTTGGGGTGACCACACTGCTGGTCCCGCTGCGCATGCAGCCTTTATTGCCTTTCCTAATGCAGAGAGAGTAAAGGCTTAATGATGGCCCTTCCCCCTTCTCTAGAGGTGAAAAACATTGCCAGAATGAAGCTGAGATATACTAAAAATAAAGGTGGCTTGAGATAACTTGCATTTAAAGATATTGTGGCCTGTTCTCTTTGTTCTTTATTATTTCATCTTGGGAAAACAGTTCTTTAGTGAAAATGGTAAAGAGGTTTCTACAAACTGGGAAAATCTTCTGTGTTCTAGAAGAAAGCAATTCTAGCTTTACCTCTTTTTTTTTTTTTAACAGAAATAACTGGTAATAATCATACACACTCTCTACTCTCCTTTGTCTTGATGGATGGATGTGTAGCAGCTGTGTCGTCTTGTTATTCTTATTTATTTTGGAGACAGAGTCTGACTCTGTTGCTCAGGCTGGAGTGCTGTGGCATCAGCCTAGCTCACAACAACCTCAAACTCCTGGACTCAAGGGATCTTCCATCCTCAGCCTCCCGAGTAGCTGAGACTACAGGCACACACCACCATGCCCAGCTATTTTTTATTTTTTTATTTTTAGTGGAGATGGGATCTTGCTCTTGCACAGGCTTGTCTGGAACTGCTGACCTCAAGCCATCTTCCTGTCTTGGCTTCCCAGAGTGCTGGGATTACAGGCGTGAGCCACTGTGCCTGGTCAATCTTGTCATTCTTGTAGACATGGCAAAGGAGCCCAAAGAAGTTAGGTTATGTCCAGATCCCCTCATGTTGATGGCAGATTTTGAAATATAGAAGTTAGTAAGGGCTCATAAAGAGGTTGTCGGAGGTATATGTACAATGCCTTTACAGTAGCAAACAGCTTTATTGTGCTTCTCTTTATAATGGTCCCTCCAACCAATTCCCATCATCTCTAAGTTTCTGCCATATTTTGTTGATGTCCAGAACAGCAGTGGACTATGTATAAAATGTCTTCGGACCTACGTAAGTCTATGTAAAAAATGTGAAGAATTTGAGGGACCATGTTGTGGCTCTCTGGGAGGCACAAGGATGATAAAATCTTTGAAGTTACTGGAAGCTAAGATAGTCTTTGTGTTTTTTTTTTTTAATGCACAAGACTTTAATGAGTCTTTGAAAAGAGATCTTTGAAATTAAATTAAATAAGAAAAGCTATTTCAACTCCTCCTTCTTGCCTACTCTTTAAACACACATGCATGAGCTGCCAACAAACACACACAGAATAGTACTTTTACTGACTGCACATTATGAGTATTGTAATGGTCTGCTCTTTATTGTTGCACAGAGGCCTGACACATAAAATGCTAATAAAAATTTTGATCAAAAGCTTAGGGTTCGTAATGCTGGAAAAACCCACAGTAAAAGTAAGCACTCAAATTTTGTATCTGCTTCACAAGAAATAAACAAATGACACTCCGTTTGATGTTACAGAGGAGACATAATCATAAAACAAACAAAGAGAAACTTCTTATCCAAAAAGTAAGCTAACTGGAAAATGTTTCTCATTTGTAAACTCCATGGTTAGCTCTGAATTTATGCTATTTTACAGGCTTAACTTTTGTTTTTTACACGACCAGCAATCTGTCTAAGAATATTCTTATTATGGGTCAAATGGAATCACTATAGACATCTGTATAAGTTAGAATTGGCTTCAGTAGCATATAATGCAAAAGCCAAATTAAAGAGAATTTAAAATGATAGCTTAATTTTGTCTCACAGAAATTGTGAAAAAGAAGAATTGCAGGGTTCATATGGCAGCTTCACTGACATTGGCAAATAATATCCTTTTTATCTTTCTATTCTGCCCTCCTTAGCACATGTGTTTTATGCTCGAGGTTGCCTCATGATAAAAGAAAGCAATTTTAGCTCCAGATAATACATCTGTATTCCAGGAAGGAGGAATGAGAAACCAGGGAGGACTCAGGGGACAAATCTTTCACTTTAACCAGGTTTCCTTCCAACAGACTCTATTTGATGATTTCTGCTTGTATTTCATTGGAAGCAAAGACTGGGAAATGCAACTTTTTATTCAGTTATTTTGTTGAACTAGATAAAATTATGATATATTAGTAAAAAGAAGTGGAAAACTAATATTGGGTGAGAAACCAGCAATCTCTGCCTTTGCATTAATTCACTACTATGTAATACTTACCTAAAACGTCTTTATTTTATGCTTTTTCTAGTACCTCTCAGTAGATTTTAGAAGGTGGTCATCATAACAGAACTTAGACCTCATAATAGGTAACCCGAATACAGCATTCTATGTGCTAGACTAATGCTCTAAATGTTTTATGTATTTAACCTGCAAAACAACTCTATGATATAAGGTGACCTTTGAAGAAGATGGTTTTAAACTGTGCAGGTCCACTTGCATGTGAGTTTTCTTCTACCTCTGCCATCCCTGAGATGCCAAGACTAATCTATCCTCTTCCTCCTCCTCCTCAGCCTACTCAATGTGCAGATAATGAGGATGAAGTCTTTTATGATGATCTACTTTCACTTAGTAAATAGTAATTATATCTTCCCTTCCTTATGATTTTCTTCATAACATTTCCTTTTCTCTAGCTAACTTTATTGCAAGAATACAGCAGATGATACATCTAACACACCAAATGTGTTAATTGACTATTTGTATTATTGGGAAGGCTTCCATCAACAGTAGGCTATGAGAGGTCAGTACCCCCTATGTGGTCAAACACCCCCTGCATTGTTCAAGGGTCAACTGTACTATTATCATCATCATTTTATATATGAAGAAATTGAGGGACAAAGAGGTTAAGTAACTGGTCAATGACGAACAACTATTGGGCATAGATTTGAATAAAGACAGTTATCAAAAACTCCCACTCAAGATTTAAGAAAAACTTTATTTTAAATTTCATTACTGATATTTAAAAATAAAGTATAAAGACCTTGGTTATAATTTTCAGATACAAAAGTAAAATACTTAAAATGTGAAGGGAAGATATTGAAATTTGACCAGAGGGTGACATAATCTGAATCATGTTTAAAAAGAACACAACAGAGGATAAATCTAGAGTCTTGGAATATCATTTCTCTCTAAGCACTTTTGAAGTCTCCTATTTTCAGCCTTTCAACTTCTCACTTTTATGTTGATCAGTTACTTGAATTTTTAAGTCTGTTGGGTGTCTGTAGAACTAATCAATGCATTTGTTTATTGAAGATACCTTTCTTTACTATGATTCAATGCCCTTAAGTTTGAACTTTCTTCTCTTTGATAAGCCATCTACTTTTATTCTACCCTTTATGTATCTTAATCACTTTTGGGTACAGTTAACAGATCTCTTCTGGTTTCATTACAGGTAAAGTTGCGTAGAGTTTCTGATTTCGGTTCACCATGTTGTTGAGCCAACTTCAAAAGAAAGGTGGAGATAATATGTCTGTTTTTGCCATTCTACTGTGGAAATCCTGCTCCTATTCCATTTAAAGATTCTTAAGAATGAAACATCTGCCCTCTCCACTCCTCCAAACTTTTGACCCTCAAAAACATTCACTGCCAGGCTATTTTGTAGAGAGTGCAGGACACCTAACATCAATACACAGTTGCTATTTAAGACTGTGGTAGTGCCAAGGTCCATGTGTATACATTTCACAGTGTCATAGTATTAGAATGCTTGTTTCTGCCACCCATGAGTGGATGAAAACTTATTAGGGTGTCTTCTAAAATTTGGTCAACAAATATCAGCAATACTGCACTGAAACAGAATATTTGTGAGAAAACAAAAATTTACTTTTGTCATTAACAGTCATCAAAAGGTAGTTTTGAGTAGAATTGGAATAGTTATGAGCAAAGTGTTCTCAATCAAAAATAATAAATATTCTGACTCTAAAAGATGATACAATTATCTTTGGTGCTCCAGCATTTTTCGGTTCTTGCTTCCTCTTTTAATTCTCTCTTGATACTAAAGAGTTTTTCCTTTCTTGTCACCTAAAGGAAATGACTGATAAATTTTATTTAAAATAAAGTTTTTGATACTAATTATTTTTTTCTGAAATAATTTGTACTTAAAAAGATAATCTGGAGAGAAAAGACAATGAGTAAATGAAACAAATGGTTGTTGAACCTTAAGCATGGAGAAAGGTAATGTGGGGAATGGGAGAGTCTTCTAGTGTTTCAGCCATGCTTTAATATTTTCTGCAAAACTAGCACTGATCATAACTGATAATGCTATTGGTAAGTGTTATATCCTGGAAAATAAAATTGTCAAGGTAAGAGCTTGGAGATGTGATGTGACAGAGGTGGGGAGTTATGAAATAAAGTCTTCAAAATACTTAGAGAAACTCATTGGAAATAAGCTTGTTTTCAATTACAAAATGGTTATTAGAGATCAAAAGAAAAAAAAAGGAAAACAAAGGCAACTCTAGAGGACTACTTATAATTCAGTATATGTTTTTAAAAAATTCATTCCCACATCTCTCTGAAATAGTTATGTATACACTTGAAGAACACAGTAAAACATTCAAAAGTAGAACTCAAAAAGCTTATACATTTTCTGAGTTTGTGTCTGATAGCACAGAGATGAGTACAATTCTAAAAGTTTAAAATCTGATTCTACATATTTCAAGAATCCCACTTGAGCTATTCTATTGGACTTGTTTTCTGTAAGGAGTCTATATTTGGTTTCTAAAAATGTAAATCACTAAGAGATAGTTTTATTGTAGGACGTTATTACGCATGTTATGGTACTGCACAAGATCATTGGAGACCTATTTATGATATCTTCCTCTGTAAATTGGTTAGGATTTTCAAATATAGTAAAAATAAACAAATAACCAGTGTGATCCTTGCAACTTAAAGTAATTAAGGATTTTAGATTTTTTTTAATCCTAAAATTAAGAGTCACTTTGTAAATAATGAAATCATGTAGATAGAAGTATGATATTTTCTGTTTTGGGTTAGTATTTTAAATTACTATATTCTATTATACAGGGCTAATTCTAAATTTTGACCAAAAGCTGTGTTTCATGGACAAACAGGGCAATGAAGATCAATACCCAGTTGGCCATACAAGACTGTAGCAGTGCCCATAACCTCACCCAGACATTTCATAATGTCATAGAACTTGTATGCTTGTTCTGTTTTAAGCCTGGTACTGTAGCTTTAAATTTCAAGTGCATTTCAATTTAGACAATAATCAGTATGGTCATCCTATTAATAAATACCATGCTGAATCAAGGCAGTCCTCTGTTTATTAAGATTTAAGTTTGTTAGTCAAACAAATGAGGTAGGTTAATAATCTTCCCATTTATTTTGGTTTAAGAACTCTGTAAGTAGTGAAATACTATCAAAGATCCCAGTGAGTCAAGCTATCAACTTCTACTCCAGCTCTGTTATGTTATATTATAATCTTGCCTACTTTTCCCCTGTCAGTTCACTACACTTATAAGAACTTTGCAAGATAGCAGCTTTCTCAGATAGCAGCATTCACAAAGAAGTAAGAGAAGTTATTTCAATTGCAGCATTTCTCACTTTCATCTATAGTTACTACAAAATTTTCAAGGGTGCTTGTGTTATTCTAACTTCTGAGCCACCTTATGAGATGCAATTATGAACTGAGCTAGCAGGTGGCACATGAAAAATCTACCCTAATATTCCTATTTCTCTGAGTCTGTCTCTCTTTCTTACTCTCTCTCTATATACACACACACACACACACACATATATACACATATATATATATGATGGTATTTCTATCATAACCTTATTGAGAATAGATCACCAATGAGTTCAATGAGCAAATAATTAGACTTCTACATGTTTGAGTAAGAATATGGAGTCAGAATTTCTGATAAGATTAACTATATCAAGTAATGTGATCTGATTGAAAATTAAATACTTCCCATGATCAAGTTTGGCTTATATAAATATATAAATCTTTGAATTAGCTTAAGCTAAATTATGCCATGGTTACAAAATACATATATATAAATATTTCTCATATTTCTCATGTTATGTCTCATTTGTGGGTTGGCTACAGTCTGTTTTATGTTGTCTTTATCCTAGGGACCAGGTTGGAGGAATAGGACCTGTCTGGAGATTGTTGGTTTTGTGGCAGGGGAAGAAAAACCTGGTGGCAGATCACACACCAGCTACTAGAGCTTCTTCTGTGCAGTTGCATAGACCAAGTCTGCTCACACTCCGTGTTCCAAATTAAGCCATACAGCCAAGCCTTAAGTCTATAGGGGTAGAGATATACTAATTTGCTCTATGCAGAGGGCACAAAAAGTATTTTATTTTATTTATTTTTTTTTGTAAGATAATTCAATTTTTTTTCCTTTGTTTTATTTCAGCATAATATGGGGGTACAAATGTTAAGGTTACATACATTGCTATTGCCTTCCCTTTCCCCTCGAGTCAGAGCTTCAAGCATGTCCATCCCCCTGACAATGCACATTACACTTATAATGTATATATATAAGCCCATCCCCTTCCCCCCACTTGCCCAACACTTGATAAATGTTTTTTTTTGTTGTTGTTGGTTTTTTACATTTTGGTTAGATTTTATTACTTTGCCTTTACCTAGCAACGGTTAGAGGCATGCCCTACCCCTCCGCACCGTTCTCCACATCCCTCATTTTAAACAAAAATAAAATCTATCACTCTCCTGCAGTTATTTTGGCATCTAAATTGTCTTTTCCTTGATTTGTCATTGTAATTGGCTTCTGTGGCATGCTGGAATCTGATACTAATTACAGTTCTGACAAAAATTAGCTAGTAGTGGTCAAGCAAGAATTTAATTGGTACTCCATTCCAAGGTGAACTATGAGGTAAAGCAGGCCCTTGTTTAGGAGATGAGAAACTATTTTGGCTAGCTGTGTAGAGTCTTTGGGGTTTGGGCATTTTGAATACTTGCACTTGTGAAAACATTCAAATAATAAACTCTACTTTTGGGGGTTATTATATTTTTTATCATCAGCTTTCACATGAGGGACCTAGTGAGTCTATGGATATAATCTATTTTGCTATTTAGCACCTCACAGGATAAGGTTTTGTCTATATTGGCCCTCCAGCTAATATAAGAAAGAAATTAATTTAGAAGAAGCATCAACATTTCCTGGTTTTCTTATTGTGCTTTGAGCCAAGAATTTAAAGCCTTGGCTCTATTATTTTATTCCTCATGCTCTTTAGTATTATTAGAAACATGTGGTTTCACCATCTCTCGATATGGTGTGGTTATCAATGTGCTGTGAAAGCTACCATTTAATTTGGAAAGGTTGTACATTTACAGGTGAAATTTTTAGTAATCCTTTCAACACTGGACACCATGAACTATTATTAATAATATGCCATTACATAGCAGAAAAAAAGATATTTCGTGCTTTTAAACCAACCATGTCAGAGAACCAATCAATTACCCATCCTTAAGAGTCTCAATTGCAATCACTTATAGTACCAAATACTTTACTAATGAAGACTTGGTTTCAAATTTTTTTTTTTTAAAAAAAACCTCTAGCAATTTTAAGCAGAAGAATATTTGATATGGGAAAATGGGTATTTATACAATTATTGGCTATCCTAGAGGAGCAAGTTTCAGGCTATGCCTTCAAAATGATTCTTAGAACAGCACTTCAGAACCAGGACACCAATGATAATTTAGTCTTTGCCAGAAGCAGGAAATTGCCATCCCAACTTTCAGTTCCAAGATCACAGTACCTTGGATGCCTGCAAGGATCAGGAAAACATCACTAACTAGAATTGTTGACTTAAGCTGTGCTGCTACAATCAGAAGAATGGTGCCTCTCATTTTACCACCTTTGCAGTTACATCTGTAACTCAGCAAAAGAGTCTGAGAAATCTTATAATTTGAGTCTCAATAATGGAAGGAGTTTAAGAATAAATGTTGCAAAAAAGCCAAGCCTCAACATGTGTGGTATTATTCTATTGTATTTTCTTTTCTGTCATTTCTATTGAGAAGTTTGTTTTAACTTATCGCTCTTCCTTTTTAGAAAAATAAAATAAAATTGATCTCTGGTTTCACTTAATATCTTCTCTTTGTGTTTGGTGTGCTGCAGTTTCATTGTATCATATATAGGTGTGGATTAATTTGTATTCACTCTACTTAAGACTTGTTATGATTCCTGAATACAATGATTTATGTACTTTAATAGTTCTTAACAATTCTCATTAAATTGTGTTTTATTTCACTTATATTTGCATGTGTTACCTCTCCTAGTCACTCAGTTATCTCCTGAAACTCTGTCAAATATAAATGTATATATAAATATAACTTTCTTATATGTATTATCTCTTAACCTGTCAATTTCTGTATAATTTTCTTACATATATCATCCAAATAACTAATAATGTCAGCAGCGTCTAATTTGCTGTGCAATTCATCTACTGATTTATTTCATTACATACATTATTTATAGCTTGAAGTTCCATTTTGGCCTTGTGCAAAACTGGCAGGTGTTTTTCCATAGCACCATATTTTGCCTCTTTTAATATAGAATGCAACTATTTTAAGTAAACATAGAATAATTCTCTGCTGGTTCTGTTATCTGAAATTGCTTAGAGAGTATAGTGATTTAAATGGTGGGTGGAAACCAAAAAACACATGTTCATGTCCTAATCTCCGGAACCTGCCAATGTTATTTTGTTTGAAAAAAGGCTCTTTGCAGAAATACTTAAGGATCTCGAGATGAGGGGATCATCCTGGATTATTTGGATGGGTTCTAAACCCAATGACTAGTGTACTTACACAAGACACAGAGAAGAGAGACACTGAGAGAGGAGGAGATGAGAGAGGTAGATTGGAGTGATGCAGCCAA